ATATATATATATATATATATATATATATATGTTCAATACTCCCCACCCCCTGTAAAGATATATTATCACTACATATACATTGTTACACATGTTAGTTGTAAACACTCAAAATAATACACGTTGGTTTAGTGGTTACTTATAACCTAAATATTTAAGGAGTAAACATTTTTAATAATCATGTTAAAGTTATAAATGTTGCCTTTGGTGTCTGTTTGTTTTACAAACATATTAGTGTGTGTGAAATGACAGGGATCAGCTTAAAGCACTCTGTAGAACATTGCTTTATGAAGTTCAGTCCATTTCCTTGGTTGACCTATACAGCTGCCACATCCAATATGGCGGCTGCTCTGACGTCACGTACTGCTCAACGAGGCTCTATGGCCCCAAGCACCAATGAGTGTAGCTGTAGCGCCCCCTGGTGTTTCTGTGTGTTCATTACGTCAGCAGACCGGCTCACGCTGTTCTTAAAGATCAGGTCCTGAGCTGCTGCAGTGACGCACGAGCGGTTAGTCCTGCTGGAAGTCTGGAGTTAGTCTGGAACCAGCCGTGATGTTCCTGGGTCAGCAGCAGACCAACTCGGTCCTGATTCATGGAGAACAGCCGTGAAGCTCCTGGTGTAGGCGATGATCGCGCGTGCACGCGCATGTTTTTCAACGCGGAGTCCGTGTGAACGCGCGCGCCTGCTTTATTTTTAGCCCGGAGCAGCTGGAGGAGGCTGCTGAGAGATGCTGAAGCTGCTCACGAGGACCACACATCTCAGATCAGAGGACAACCTGAGGTGTGGTCACGAGGTCCACGCGGCTCCCGGCTCGGGTTCTGTTCGGGACGGGGAGGCTGGGAGGAGGTGAGGCTCCATCTTTGGATCGGCGGCCCGAGCGCTTCTCCCCGAGACCTGGTATTATGCAGGAAGCGGGGGGGTCCGGACGGATTCAAGGGGAACACAGTACCGGTTCTGACCACGTTCTGCAGACTGGCAGGTGAGTGGAGCTGCGACCCGCAGAGGTAGAACCGGTTCTGTGGGTTTGGACTCGGTGCTGAATCTGATGCAGAACCCTTCACCGTTTGTTAGCCAGGGCCGCACCACGAAGGGGGGCAGGGGGTGGCGAGGCCTCTTACAAATTTGCTGTTCTCCCCCTCCCGGCCCCCATTGGACCGAGTCTTAGCCTCCTGAGTTTCTGTTTAAGTTTAGTAAAAGCATATATAAAAAAACAATCCTTTAAGTAGTTAAAAAACTTTTATTTCAAATAAAAATAAAACCATAAAACAAGGTCGTAAAGGCAAACTACACGGCGTGTAAAAATTATACCTCTGCTCCTTTTCATCCCGATCCTCGCACCGGTCACCCCTTTAGAAGGTTTGACCCAAGATTACAGACAGTTACCAAGGTCTTTTTTATTTTATTTTATTTACACAAATACAACAAAGAACAAAATAAGAGGGTCTGACGTGTACATGTCATCGGCATATAAAGAAGCTTTGTGCTCTGTGCCTACTCGATTCATCCCTTTAATGATGGAGTTTTGCCGTAAAGCGACAGCTGTTCTGTCGCTAACGTGACAGACCTGACCTTTATGGTTAAAACGAAAACAGCTGCAAAACATACAGCACTCAAGGAGGAGAACCTGAACGCAGCATGGACCCAGTACAGACAGAGGCCGATGAACGAGTGAAGACACCTGGGCTCAACCGGGAGCAGGTGAGAGTGGGCGGGGCACGAGCGCACGAACTGACGGCGCAGAGGAAAACTGGAATCCATCCATCCATCCATTATCTTTACCATCCATCCATCCATCCATCCATTATCTTTACCATCCATCCATCCATCCAT